CAGAAATCGTCAGTTCTGAATCGAAAAGGTCGCATAAGTTCGAACACCGGAACCAAGCCGACGAAACGAAACAAATTGCAGAACTCGTTGGTTCCCAAGCGAAAGAGCTGCACAAGTCGTCCGTCCGAAATAGAAAAGGTTGTACATTCGAAAACCGAGCCCACCGCGACTAAACGAAACACATGCTGCATGATGTTGAATATGCTGCATGATGTTGGAAATATCCGCCATTTCATATATGATGGACGGGTGATCACATGTGCATGTATAAGTTCCAACTTCTACCGACTGGACCGTAAGTCTAAGTTGATAAGATGAGAACTGTTTATTCAAAACCCAGACAATTCTTGGACGGGCTTATGAGGAGGACACGTTGGACAGGAGGGTTGGCAGCATCGTTGATACATCTTGGGTTCACTCAGGTCCTCGTCCTCCTCGTCCTCCTCCACCTTCTCCTCCTCCTCCTCCTCCTCCTCCTTCTCCTCCTCCCACTCCCAATTCCTCTCCCCCTGGCGCCCGTCCAGGCCGAACGTGGAGCTCGCATCGAAGGCGGACTTCAGCTGCTCCCAGTACGATACAGGGTCCAGGTAGGCGCCGAGCAGTTTGCACACGGTGTCGTAGGTCTTCATGGCCTGAGGGGGGAGAGCCTTCCTCTGCCAGAAGCTTGCTGGTGAAGCATCGGCCCGCATGATGCGAACCAGAGAGGGCCGCATCCTCTTCGAACCGAATGGCTGATCTCTCGCCCCAGGCGGATGCTAGTGGTAGGAGAACGAGAGCGACTCCGCAGGTGATTTCTCGGCGAAGGCTGGTGGAGATCAACGAGTAGCCCCTGAGAGAGGCCCGCACAGGCGTGCACACGGGCACACCAAAGAGCGCCCAGGTGCTTTCCATCCCCGCTGCAAGTCGAGGGAGTGAGAGCGCAGGAGGTTGAGGCCAGAGGAGCGGGAGCAGGAGGAGCGGGAGGAAGAGGATGTGGCGGCCTTGGCCCCTCGGCAGACTCCCCCAAAAGCGTTCGCGCGCGACTCGCCCCCGAAGCTCGACTTGGTGACCCATGGCCCGTGGCCATCCTCGTGTGCTGGCGGCGCGCACAAAGGGGATAGCGGGAGGGGGGAAGGCTTCTTCGAAGGAGGCTGCTTCTTGGAAGGCGCTGGCCCTACATTTATAGACACGGCCCGCGCCTTCTGAGAAGCAGGAGTGCTTCTAAGAAGCCTTCTCCACTCCCCTTACCCCCCATCTGCGCGTGGCCATCCTCGTGCGTGTCACGCGCCAGAGCTAGGTTCGGTAGCCTGTGGCCCATGACCCCGAGATTGGTTTTTGGTGGCTGTCAGCCTGGGCCCACCGCAGCGACTCTTCGAGTAATTATACCTCCCCTGGCGGTGTGGATCGCTGGGCCGCTCGAAGGCTGCGCCAGCAAAGCCAGGCTGTGCCTGATCTGGCGGGCGCGCTGCGCTCCAGGTCGGCCGGTTCAAGTTTTCTGGGTGCGCCCGAAATGGAGAGGACAGGCCAGCAGCTCAGCGCGGTCGCGGATATTTGCGGCGACGCAGCTTTAAAGTTACCTGCGTCCGTGCGCGCGGAAATAGATTCTCGACCCCCTCGGGGGTCCCCACTGATAGCCGAACCATGCGCGCTACCTATCCCACAAACATCGGCTACACGCAAGAGTGACCCTAGGGAGGGAGTGACCTCTGGGAGGCGGCCTGACGATCGTCGCCTGCGACGCGGCAGTGGCGCCCTGCGTGCCTGGGATTGCCCCCCACCCCACCCCACCCCCACCCCCACCCCACCCCGCGCTCCCCGAAAGCAGCGCACCAAAGGCCACTCTGGCGAAGGGCTCCTCCGATTGAGGCGGTGTACAGCCCGCACTTGTGGAAGACAGTCGCCAGCGGGTACGCTTTTTCCGGAGCTGTCCTTGCTTTTTGTGTCCTGGCATGGACATGCGCCTCCAGCCGGCGGCACTCCTCTGGCCGATGTGTCGTGCAAACACGGCGCTGTTGCTTGATCAGTTGACCGGAGGTGCTGTGGGCAGCTCTGCCGATCTGCGACCAGCGCCCACGTGCAGACGCACGCGTGTGCGTTGGGCCTCCCGCCCTCCCCCGCTCTGCTGGTGGCGCCCAGGCCCCCTGGCTCATCTGGGCTGCCCACCTGCACGCCCGTTGGCTCGGGTCCGCCCCCCATGAAGACGAGGCCAGGACGAGGATAAAATCCCGCAGAGGATAGATCGAGAATCTCTGAGACCTGGCGGCTCTGGAAGAAGGTGTCTCGAACGCCACGGCCTTCCCAGAGCGTTCTCGAACGCTCTGAGAGCGTTCTGGAACGCTCTAGGACGGATTAGTCCTCGTCCTACGCCCCTTCCGACCCATGCTGGGATAGCACGGCGATTGCAGGCCGCCGATGTCGCCTCTCCTGCACCTCGCTTCACGCTGCACCCCGCAGCCTGCTGACGCGATGGTGCACCACAGCCGGCGGAGCGTGCGCGTTTGGCCCTCGTGCCTCCTCCTCTCCCCCTCCCCTCCCCCTCCCCTCCCCGTGCGGAGGGGCGGCGCCCGGCCGCCTGGCCTGGGAGTCCCCGGCTGCCCAGGCGCGACCGGAGTAGAACTTGCAGAGCGCCTGCAGCATCGGCTGGAGCCACTCGGTCACGCCCTCCTCGGAGTGAAGGGAGGGGGGGCCCGTACATGGACACTAGATTCGAACCCTGTGGCCCAAGACGCCCCCCCAGACCCTCCGAAACTAATCTTGATGGCGTGACGACGGGGGGGGCGTGAGTGAACATAACTATTCGAACTCCCAAAGCACCGCCTGCACTGAGGGAGGAGGGAAACAATTAGTGGACACTCCTCCTCTCCCCAGACTCAAAGGTGGCACTCGCAGAGGAGACTGCGGTCGATGTGCAACTCATCAGGCCCACAGCCAGTTTTGAACATTGGGGGGAGGGGTAGGCGTTGACCGATGAATGTGGCATGAGTGTTCGCTATTTTTTTCCAAGACCTGGAGGAAGCGGGGCGGGGGCGGGCCAGCCGGTCGTGCGTTCGACCTCGCCCGGCCCCACAAGCGCGCACGATCCCACGAGCCCGCGCGGGGGCGGCGCGCTTCGTGGTCCCCACCGGCCCCTCGTGCTCCGCAAGGCGCGTCGCATGCGCGCGTGGGATGGTCGGGGGGCGGAGCAGGATGAGGGGCAGGACGGGCGGACATCCCCGAGGGCTTCAGCTCCTGGTCTGCAGCTCCAGCGACATCCGGGGGGCCATCGGCAATAGCTGTCTTCGGGCTCCACCCACCTGCAGCAACGTGACTCACACAGTTCACTTGCCCCAAGGACGTGGGGCCGATGAGAGAAGGAGGAGGGAGAGGAGTAGGAGGGGAAAGAGGGGAAGGAGAGGATGGGGAGGTGAAGAAGGTGGAGGAGAAAGTTGTAGGTAGCGAACAACGGGTGCGACACCAGAGAAGGGACAGGGGGGAATGATGATGATGATGATGATGCTGATGATGATGATGCTGATGATGATGCTGATGATGATGCTGATGATGATTATCATCCTGATGATGTCTGTGAGGGCTATGATGATGCTGATGATGACGATGATAACGATGGTGATGGTGACGACAATGACGATGATGATGATGATGATGATGATGATGATGATGATGCTGATGCTGATGCTGATGCTGATGATGATGATGATGATGATGATGAGGATGATGATGATGATGATGATGATTATGATCCTGATGATGTCTGTATGGCTATGATGATGCTGATGATGACGATGGTAACGATGGTGATGGTGACGGCGGGGGAAGGGGGGAGCCAGATGGGAACGAAAGGGGCGGGGCGGGTTACTCGAAGGGGGGGGGGCGAGGTCGGAAGGGGGGTCGGAGCCGAAGTCGGAGGCCTGGGCAGCCGGCGAGTCCCCGAAACGTGGCTGAGTGCAGAGGACTCGCCATCGCTCGGTCGTCTATTCCCCGTGCATTTTTCGATGTCGTGCGTGTTTTGTGCGGCTCGATGATCCAGGATGCTCCTTGATGGCTCTACCCGAGAACATGCACACGTCTGAGCGATGCCAAGGCCAGGAGGGTGTTTGGGGGGGGGGCTTTCTCTTCGAGGGGAGGGGGAGCCGCGGGCGGGCGGAAGGGCCGGACAAGTGAGGGGAGGAGGACACAGGAAGCAGCTGCTGCATGCGGCTGGTCTTTCGTCTTTCGAGCGCCAGGAGGCGCTGGGAACGACCTCGTATCGAAGAGCGCGCTCGGCGTCGCGGCCAGAACTGGCTGCGCGCGCAACAGGTTTATACCCACCCATTCTTCCTGGCTGCTCGTTTCACCCACTCGCCCGGAAGGAGGGGGAGGGGGTTGGTGGGAGACTGAATGGGGGCGGGGGCCGAATATGAGGGAGTGGGGGCGAGGGTTGAATGCACCCAACGCAGCAGCGGCCCGTGCGGAGCAGGCCGAGTCTGGGCTTGGCCCTGAAGCCAAGGCAGGCTGAAAGCATCGCTGCGGGCTCCGCTGCTGGTCGTGATCCAGGCAGCTGAGGAGGACTGCGAACTTCGAGGAGCCGCCCTTGTTTTTCTTCCACCGTCCTCGGCGGGCCTTCCGCTGGCCTCCGCCGAGGGCGGGTCGATCCATCGAAGACAAGGCCTGTCTGGGGGAAGATACTCTCACCCTGTACTGCTGACAGTCCTTGTCAATCCTCCCCCACTCCTTCCTCTCCCCTCACTAGAGGCATGGGCAGAGGCTGAGTGTGTGAAGGAGAGGGGTGGGGGAACAAAAACACAAGGGAATGCGCGGATGCGACAAGGAGGATGACGACGCTCGGAGGACCTCGTAGAACCCATCGGAGCTCCCGAACATATCAAACAAACACAACGCCCCGAACGCCTGAATATTCTCCTGAAGCCCTGGTCCCTCCTCCTCCTCCTCCTCCTTTTCCTCCTCCTCCTCCTCATCATCATCATTCTCCTCCTCCTGCTCCTCCTGCTCCTCCTGCTCCTCCCCATTTAAAAGAGCGGTGTTCAGATACGGAGGGTCGCGGGATCCTCCGTGTAAGCGATGGACATGCAGAGCAGCCGGCCGGCGTTCAGGGCCGTGCAGTCGCGGAAGTCGACGACGTCGTTGAAGGTCGCTTTGATGTACCTTACAGGGCTCACGCTAACCTCCCTCCCCTTGACGCCCCCCCTTGACGCCCCGAAGGAGGAGAAGGAGGATCGAGGATGGAGCTGTTTGAACGTGTTGCGCTTTCTTTGGACCTCCAGAGGCGTCTGGAGGCCTCAAGTGACCTCTGGGGACATCTGCCTGGGGGTAGGGGGATCGAATGTCGAGGGAGGCGCGCGAGGATCCCTCCCGGGAAGCGCCAGAAGATGTGCCTGGGGGCGTGCCTGGGGTCGTACCAGAGGGACACGACGTGGCACGTGTTCATGGACGCGCGTCACGGGACGTGCCAGGGGCCCCCTGAGGGGACGTGCCAGTGAGGGAACGTGCCAGTGAGGGGAGTTGGGGCTTCCTGAGGCTACGGGGCTTCCAGTGGCTGTGGTCATTTTCCCGTCCCGCAGAGGCGTCCTGGGCCCCTTGGAGCGACTCGGGGCGCCCCGATGTTCGTCGAGGATTATATGGGGAAGACGCACCATCCTCGAGGCACGCACGCCTCTGTACTTAAGTTCCTGTAGAGAAGTCTACACAAAAGCCGCCCGACCCACATTTCCACCGGGGGCAAACAGGTGTCTCCAGCCATTGCCCTCGAGCGGGTGCACACGCCTAAGCCCCAAATGAGCCCGCATCCCGAGGCCCGCGCCTTTTCCGATACAAAGCCTCCCGATTGTGTGTGTGTGTGTGGGGGGGGGGGCAGGACCCGCCGAATCGTGGGACGCAGCTCGGGCCGCCTCGCCCCGCGGACGCGCTCAGAAGCGTACCGCCTGCGGCCCCACCTCTGCCGCACGGTACTGCGCTCCAGAAATCCGACGTACTCGTTGTATTCTCGGGGTCACCCAGCATTCCAGACCCCAGGAGGTTGGGGCGAAGGATGAGACGATCGACTTGCGATGACTCTGAGTTCTTGGTGGTGGTGGCGATGGTGGTGTAGGTGGTTGTGGGTGGTGGTGTTGTATGTGTATATATATATATATACGTGTAGATATGTATAAAACACAGGTATGTCGATCGGTGTATGTGTGTATATATCTATAACACTCTTTTTATCCATTGCTACACATATGAATATCCAGCTATATATACAACTATCAGCCTATCGAATTACTTATCTATCTCTCTCACCATCGGGACACCCATCGGGACAACCATCGGGAAAACCATCGGACACCCATCGGGACGACCATCGGGACAACCATCGGGACAACCATCGGGACAACACCACCGAGACAACACCATCGAAACCACCATCGGGACAACCGTCGAGACAACCATCGGGACACCCATCGGGCCACCCACTGGGAGAACCATCGGGACAACAATCGTGACAACCGTCGAGACACCCATCGGGACACCTATCGGGAAAACCATGGAGACACCCATCGGGACAACCATCCGAGCGCGAGAAGCAGTAGCAGCGTCCTGGCGCTTTTGAATTTGGATCCCCCGCGGCCCCCCAAAAGCCGCGCACCTAAGGCCACTCTTAGCCAGGGTCACTCTGACGTGTGGCCGAGTCGACCTGCTTCTAGAACGCCAATATATCAGGCCTAGACCAAGTACCGCTCTCGCGTTCTAGCCAAAAGCGTCTATGGACACATGCCGTGCCACTACGTCTATAGACGCGTTCGGGGTGGATACGTCTACAAACAACGCGGTCGTTGCGCTCGTCGCAATAAAAGGTCGGAGAAAGGGTTGATCCGTCTACGGTATGTTCCTGCTCTGGAGCAGGCCCCACATGGTACTCCAAGAAAGGGGTGTGGTGTAAAAGGGTGCGGTGCCACTACTGAATCTGGCGATGTTCTCTATCCGATATTCGGAGGTTGGGGGGTGTGAATGGAAGTGACCCCAACCAGGAAATGGGTGTCGGTTTCGGTTCGTGTCGTGCGTGCGGGCGAGGCGAAGCTGCGCGAGTTCCCGCAGTTGTAGAGGCCACATGGAGCCCAAAAGGTCGCCCGCCCCCCCCGCCCCCCCCCCTCCCGCCCCGCCCCCCCCCCCCCCCCCGGCCCTTGGCCGGGCGCGGCCCCCGATGGTTGTCCCGCGGGTTCTCTTGATGGTTGTCCCGATGGTTGTCCCGATGGTTGTCCCGATGGTTGTCCCGATGGTAGTCCCGATGGTTGTCCCGATGGTTGTCCCAATAGGTGTCCCGATGGGTGTCCCGATGGTGGTCCCAGTGGTTGTCCCGATGGTTGTCCCGATGGTTGTCCCGGCGGTTGTCCGCCACGCGATAACACGGCTGGGCGTCGGAGATCTGCATGGCCCTTCCTTTGAGCAGGGACTCCCGACCGCCACAGCATTCCTATAGGCCTATCACGAATTAAGAGTGTTCTAAGAGTGTTCAAAGAGTGTTCTAATTGTCACTAAGAGCATTCCTATAGGCCTATCACACATTCCTAGAACCATAGGGTGTTCTAAGATCGGAAGCAATATTCTCGTAACGTTAGCCCGATGTATGAAAACAAGACGGTCTCAGCCAAAAATGCTCTAAGAGCATTTCGTGCAGAACACACAGGGGTCTTAGAACATTATGTGGCTGGCCGATGGGCAAGTCGGGACGCTTCGCCACTGCTCGATTTCTCCGATCCCGTCGCCCCCTCCTCCTCCGCCTCCGCCACCGCCCCTGCTGAGCCCTGCTGGGTGAACTGTGGAAGCCTCAGCTCTCTCTGAGACGCCAAGAGACTTACCGGTGCGCACCTCACCCCCGCCCCCCACGCTCCTCCTCCGTCTCCCTCGCCTCCGTCTCCCGCGTCCCTCCCCCGCCTCCCTCGCACCTCCGGCTCCCCGCCCTCTGAGAGCCCGTCCTGTCCGACGGCCCCGTCTCCCGGGACATCCTCCGGCGGGGGTGGCGCAGTAGCGCGGGTCGCGCAGCTCGGCGGCTGCCTCCAACCCTGGGCCCAGCCAGCGCCGCCTGGGCCGCGCTGCAACGGCTGGGAGGGCGCTTCCCCTTAGCCATTCGCCGCCCCTGGAGGCCGACGGGGCGCCGCTGGGCCATGGGGTGCGAAGGACCCCCCACGCCGTGAAGGTTGCGGTCCTGGAGGCCAGGCTTACGACGCCTGGGCGGCCGAGCGCACAACATGCATGTGCCAGCGGGTGGGAGGCGCGACTGGCCTCGAGCTGTTGCGGGACCATCTCGGAGGTTGGTTCCAGGAATGGGCCCAGACATTTAGCGCCTCGATAAAATCGAGACGGGAGGTTTTTGGTACGTTTCGGCCTGGGGGGGCCCCCGTCGGGACTCGGGACCGTCAAAAAACAACTCAGGACGAAACAACAAACCCAGGGAAGTGGTCGAGAGGTCGGGGACACGAGTCTCGAAACAATGGAGACACCCGATGTCTGGGGAGACCAGGAAGGCAATACGTCCGCGGACACCTGCCAAGGATGCAAGCTGACGAGGCGCCCATCAGACCCGTAGACCAGGCAGCTATAGAGCGGACCATCTTATACAGTAGTGGCGAAGCTCGTGCGGCCTCTTTTCTAGAGCCGATTGGGACGTGGCCGTCCACCAGGCTCACCAGCAGCTGGCAGCCTATGGCAGGTTCGTTTTCTGCACGAGCTGCTGTCGCTTCGCGAGCTCTGAGGAGCGCCTCATCACCTTGCGCCAGGCTGAGTGCAAGCGGCCCGAGCGAGGCAGCAGCTACTTTCAGCAGCTACTTTGCGAAGCTCCACAGGCTGCGGCAAAGGCAGCACCCTCAGTTGGGATCTGCCGCTCGATACCATCAACGCCCGTCATGCGAAGGGCGCGCGGGTAGGGCCGGCCAGACCCGCACCGCCGCCGGCGGTCGCCCTCGTCCTTTTACAGTGCTACGAAGAGGCCGTCGGCCCGCTCGACAGCATCACTGACAGACCCCGTCCCACGTCGCAATCCCCCATCCCCCGGACCGCTCGCCCCATTCCTCCTCCGCACCCCCTCCCCCTTCCTCCCCCTCCTCTTTACTATCCTCCTCCATTCCTGTATAAATAACTCCTCCCTGTCGCGCCCCGAGGCCGGTCGAAAGTGCGGGCAAGGCGTTTCGCCTCAGACTTCCTGACCATTTATGACCCTGGAAATTAGAAATTGGCAACAGCTTCACAGATGGAGGGCGAGTGATTTTCAATATGTGGCTCTCGCCTTAGCGCCGCGCATAAACGTCTTAAAGAATTGCAAGAGTTTAACGAATGGAGGGCGGGTCATTTTCAAAATGTGGCTCGCGCCTTAGCGCCGCACGCATTCGTCTCGCGGATGGAGGGCGGGTGGTTTTCAATATGTGGCTCTCGCCTTAGAGCCGCGCGCAAACGTCTTAAAAATGCAGGAGCTTCACGGATGGTGGGCGAGTGGCATTCAGACTGTGGCTCTCGCCCTCTAGCCGCGCACATACGTTGTAAACATTGGCAAGAGTTTAACGGATTCTCATGGTCAACGTACCAGACCAGAAGCGGCATTTTGGAGCGAGTCTGGATTGTCAGGGCGCGACCGTTACGTTGATCCGCGGTGTTGGAATCCCTGGAGCCGCGTTCGGGCACGATTCAGGATTGTCAAGATGCAACAGTCGCGTTGGTTCGTGGCGTTGGAGTCCCGAGAATGGTGTTTGGCACGCTTCAGGGTCTTCAAACGGTTGTCTCACAATGGGGCGCTTCCCTCGGTGGAAATGATCCCTTGTAGGGGGCTGTGAAGAGAGAGCTTGGAGGGAGGGTTTATTCCAAGATCGTTGATGTGTCTTGGGTTTACTCTGGTCCCTCCTCCTCCTCCTCTTTCTCCTCCTCCTCCTCCTTCTCCTCCTCCTCCTCGTCCTCCTCCTCCTCCTCCTCCTCATCATCATCATCATCATCAGCATCATCATCATCATCATCAGCATACAGTAATCATCATCATCATCATCATCATCATCATCATCGTCATCATCATCATCATCATCATCATCATCATCATCATCATCATCATCATCATCATCCTCATCATCATCATCTCATCATCATCATCATCATCATCATCATCATCATCATTCTCCTCCTCCTCCTCTTCCTCCTCCTCCTCCTCCTCCTTCCTTCTCCTCACCCTTCCTCCTCCTCCACCTCCTCCTACTCATCTGCCTCCTCTTCCTCCTCCTCCTCCTCCTACTCCTCCTCCTCCTCCTCCTCCTCCTCCTCCTCCTTCTCTTCCTCCTCCTCCTTCTCCTTCTCCTCCTCCACCTCCCCGCCGCTGGCGTGCGCTCCGCCTGAGTCCGCTGCGCCCTCCACCCCTGCCGCCGCTCGCGCGCCTGCGGGTGTGCGTCCGCACCCAGTGCCTGGCGCCGAGGCGGGGCCGCGGCAGCTTGCGGTAGGCCTTCGTGCCCTCGGGGTGGGCGCGGGTGTGGAGGCCCAGGGGGGGGGAGGAGGGAGCACGGGGTCGGGGATCGAGGTGAGGAGGGGGCCAGGGGTCGGGAGGGGGAGGAGGGGTGGATGAGGAGACGGCGAAGGGGGGGTGAGGGGTGGGGCCGAGGGAGAGGAAGTGGATCGAGGAGCACGGCGCGTTCGTCAGGGGCGCGGGGGGAGTGAGGGGAAGGTGGATCGAGGATGGAGGATCGAGATTTGAGGATCGAGAGCCAATGTTTGAACATGTTGGGCCCCCTCTGGGCCTCTGACGGACTCCAGAGGTCTCAGCGCTCCAGGAACATCCGGGGGAGCGCTGGAGATGAGGGCGAGGATGACAGGAAGGAGTGGGACGGATGGGGGAGGAAGCGGATGGAGAGATGCCGAGGGCGGTCGTCGCCAACAGAATTCAAAGAGCAAACAAGAGGCTAGATTGTGTGCACAAATGGCTCGTTCAAGAACCTTGCATCACGAACATCTTGCATACCTTGAAAGACGACTTGTGTTATTCCGATGGCTTTCGCTGGCCTTACGCTGGCGGAAACGTTTCGCTTTACTTCCGCCGTTTTCCGTCGAGGAAGAAATGTCAGCCGTTCGATCCCTGGAAGGCAAATGTCTGGAGCGCCACATATGTGCCCACCAGAAAGCGTGTGATCGATCCCGCAGGTGAGGCCAGGAGTACTCGCGCTCGGGAATGATCACCTCCTCGCCGAAATCCTCGAGTCCAGCCACGCATACCAACAGCAGCAGCAGCAGCAGCAGCAACAGCGAGATAGATGGAGAGGAGGTATGGATGGCATGATGCACCACTTGAAGATGAGACGGGGATAATTTGACGGCTGTCAAAGACGAAGATGAGTCGACATGTGCCAGGATGTAACACCGATGGGAAATTCAAGCAAGAACTGCGTGCAAAAGGAATCACCAGGAACACAGGGATGAAAACGGGACGATGTGAACGGGATGTTGAGGGATACGCCAGCAGAGTGCCATCGCGTGGACACTAAGCAGTAGCTTCTTGCACTTCCGACGCGCAAACTAAGACTACATGGCCCTCGGGGAAGAGAACGGACTCACACGCAAACGGACAGGGAGCAGTAGGGGACGGCCGACTGCGGTGGACAGGAAACCCATAGACAGGGGACCGTTGGGCACCGAAAAGACTGCGCCGAGCGGGAACGTCCCCTACGCCCCACAGTGCACCATAGTCAGGAAACTGGGGCCCCTCCTCCTTCCTTCCTCTGTCCCCTGCCACCTCTGGCGGGTTGCTCTGCCCCCTTCCTTCCTCTGTCACCTTCCCCCCTCCTCCTGGCGGGCTGCAAAAAGTCCGAAAAGGTGTGATCATGTGAATCACCAGGTCTGCCAGATATTCCAGAGCAGCGGCACGAATGCGAAATCGGATCTCGACGCGCAATGGCGCCACGGCACGCCTCGTGCCCTGCTTAGCCAACCCAGCGTTTCACCCATTTATGTTTGTGACTGCTTGACCTTGGCTCCCTGCCCGAGCGCTGGACGGCGTAAGGCATGCGAGAGAGTGAGCGAGTGCTGCCATCAACTCCCCAGCATCAGGCGTTCAGCTTCGAAACGCGGGGGCAACGCACGAAGCTTCATGGAAGAAAGAAAGATACCGATACGGGTGCCTTTTCCCTCGCTTTCATCCTTTTGGGCCTCCCGGGGGCCTCCTCGCCACGGCTGGATTCGCCGCAGACTCCTGGTCACGACGCACTCCGAAAGGCCCGGGGAGCACATGGCTCGGAAGCATCATGTCCCCCCAGTGGCGATGCCGCCAGAGCCCGCAAGTCGACTGGCCGACTGGGGGGGGGGGAGGGGGGCCAGAGGCGTCGCACCACCAGCTTCCAATCCCCCGCAACCGGGGATCTACTGACCTGGGTCAATCCGAACCCGGGCCAGCCAAGCTTTGCAGGATCCTGCAAGATCCTGCAGAATCCTGCAGGATCCTGCGCGCAAGCCAGGGTCAATGCGGCCCTGGCCCTGCAGGATCCTGCAAGATGCCGCGCTCGGACTGACCCCCGATTGTACAAAAAATCCGTCACGAGGCCCCCGACGCAGGGGGCTCCCAGAGCTACCAGCACCAGGCGAGCCCGAGCCAGCCAACGGCCGCCCGGGGCGAGGTCCTCCTCAGCGGCAGCCTCGGGCGCATCGCGGAGCCTGTGCTCGCTGCGCTCGTGCTCCCCCATGAGGTCGGGCCCCTGCGCCGCTGTGCGACGCACGCCGCTGACTCCACCGCCTGAGCGTGCAGGCGGCAGAAGGGCGGACGAGGGGGAGGGGGAGGAGGATGCCGAACAGCAGGGCACGCAGGAGGGCGAGGGCGACGCGAGCGAAGAGGAAGACGGCGGATGCCGGCAGAAGCGAGCGAAGAGAGAGACGCGACCCCTGGGAAGGAAAGAAAGAAGAGCAACGGAGCGAACTCAGCCGAAGTCTCGCTGGAAGTATGTCCTTGCAGCTGCGGCTGTATAGAAAATAAACAGCCGAGCACAGAACCCCCTCTGCACCAACAGTGTTCATTGATGATGTGCTCTGGCCGCGCCTCCTCCGCCTCCTCCTCCTCCTCCTCCTCCTCCTCATCCTGTATCCTCATTCGCCCAAATTCCTGGCCCCACGCTCCTGTCGAAGTTCGGCCATGGAGTCCTAGGCGAGCCAACGGGGATAGGAGGAGGACGGCAACGGCGACGACAATGGCCACGGCCGCGCGGGAGACGACGACGGGGGGGGGGGCAGGGGAGAAGGAGGGGGAAAGAGGGGGAGCATGCAAGAGGAGGAAGAAGTGAGGAGGGGCGAAGGGGTTGATGAGCAGGAGGAGAGGACGACGCAGACGACGACGGGAACGAAGATGGCTCTGGCGACGACGATGACTGCAGAAGGAGGATGAGAATGGGTGGGAAGAGCAGCAGGAGGAGGAGAATCAGACGGACTGGCTCGGATTCGCAGTTGAGTGCAGGAGCTGGTCCCCGCTGATCGATCAAGCCCCCGGGGCAGGGCTGAACGAACGGTGGACGCCCGAATCCAGACCCCAAGCTGGGGAGAAGGTGAATAACCAACTGGCGTGATGAATGTAGCCGGCACGAGCGAAACAGTTCGCGCTGGGAGTTCGCCGAGTCGGCGTTATTGCTATGGTCCGAGGGCCCGTGGACGGCCCGCACTGCTTAAGAACGGTGAGCAAGATCCAGGACGCGCTTCCTAGCGAGATGGGGAGGGGGCAGGGGTGCTTTCCCTCTTCGGGTGGGTAGAGGAGAACACGATTGTCAGCTCTTCGCGCCGACGCAGGGAGCACCTTGCTGAGTGATTGCGTGCATACAGAGGCTCGACTGTGAAGCAACAAACACTGAGCGCAACACGACTACGAAGCAGGAGACAAGAGGAGAGCGGGAGGGGGGAGGAGGACGAGCGGGCGGAGTCGAGTTACACGCAAGACATATTGTACAATGAAGTCGCCCACGGTTGTCGCGGGCGCCCTCGCTTCTGGTGGCGTGCCCAATTTTTGAGACTGCCGTCCGCATCGCACAAGGTGTCTTTGATCAGGGAACGGGCCAGGGACCTGGCGATTCGACTGTACATGTCAATGTGGCGTTGTACAGGAAAAATCTTCAGGCGTGCCTTTCGCGCACTCAAGCCGCACTTCTGACGGAGCCCCCTGTAAGACGAAACCAAGACGAGGATAACATCGGGTACGGATAAATCGAGAACCTCTGAGATCCGGCGGCTTTGGAGGATGTCTCGGGCGCCGCGGCCTTCTCAGAGCGTTCCGGAGAGCTCTGCGAGCGTTCTGGAACGCTCTGGAACGGATTTATCCTCGTCCTAGCCCCGCCCGATCATGGGAGCCCCTCTAGGCTGGCGCTCGCCGCGGAAGGGGAGTGCCGAGCCGTGCAATTGCTTGAGCCCGAATGCTGGCTACGGAGCGAAGCATGGGAGGGAGCATGGAGGCTGGAGCCTGGGGGAGCTCTCTTGAACGGCTTTCTCCTCGTCCCAGCCCCGTCCGACCAGAGCTCCACGGAGCCAGGCCCTGGCCCTCTCCGGCGGCATCGCATCGGGCCCGGTGCCCAGGGCGCCGGGAATGGCGCGATACCTTCTGGCGGGTTCTGCGCGCGTAAGGGCGAGGGGTGACGACAGAGGGGGACGGCACAGCGGTGGAGAACATCGACCTGGAATCGGCGATGCGTAGCCGATAGATCGGCGGTAGGCCCCCAATAACAAATCCCCCACGCTCCTGGGCGGGGTGGGGCTGTCGGGCCCCTATCTGCGTTGAGTGGACGATTGGGGATCGATGCATCCCCCCCTGCTGCCTATCCGCCCCTACCGTTGCCTCTGAAAGGAGCCCTCCCGAAGGCGTGCAGCCACTCGTTGCCCAGGGCTCCGCTCCCCAGCGGCCCTGGGGCCTGGCGCCCGAGAGGCTCGTGGCGCGCGGGCGGGGACCCCCGAGGTGCGCACGTGAGCAGCACTTCCAGCGGCTTGCCAAGTTCTCACCGACATGGGGGAAACCACAGGGTACCGATACCGCTGCTCCCCAGACCTCTCCCCCAGGCGCTCTGACCCGGATTTCGGAGAAGGCCCTGACAAGAAGGAAACGAGGCAAGGGTAGCGCTACGGGTACCATTCTTCTCCCTCTGGGACAGAAGGAAGCTGCCGGCAGCCGAACACTGGGAGGGGAGAAGGGGATGGGGGAGCGGGGCCGGCGCACGTGCCCCCCCCCCACAGGGCAGGAAGCCCCCTCGTCCGGCGGGCCGCTCGCCGCCGCGCGCGCGGCCCGAGGGACGGCGCGCACCGGGGGAGGGGGTGCGGAGAAGGCTGCGGCGTGGCCATCGCCGCCTCCGCCGCGGTTCCTGGTGTGACCGTGGCCGTCGCTGCTCTTCGGGGCCTCTCGGGCGTCTGTGGAGCAGGGGCCGACCGCCCCGGCAGTCCTACAGGCCTACCACGCGGTGTTCCCAGAGCAAGCGAGTGCAGCAGGGGCAGGGGCTCGACCACAAGATACCTTCCACAAGAAACCCAACCCTGAGACCCCAGGACGTCTATTGATTTTTGTTGTGGGAGGTCCAGATTTCCATAGCAAAGCCATCGAAACCCAATAGGCCAAGAGCACTCTGGAGGCAAGCAGGGTGTTCTTGGCATAGGTTCTCAGTGTAGTGTTCTAGTAGCAAGATCACCACTGTTCGCGGAACGTGAATCCGACTTGAACAAGAACATATCGCGCATAACACAACATGGTATCATAACATTATTCGGTGGGCCTGTCGGCAAGCCAAGACGCCTCGCCACTGCTCGACTCTCGAGCGTCCGTGGTCTCGAACAAAAACGACGGGCGATCTCGCCCCGAGGTCGGGCCCCCGGGGCCGTCACGGATGTCGGTCCGGCTCGGGAGGCGCCGCAGAGAGACGGGGGCCGAGGGCCCGGGTGGGAATCTGTAGCGGCATCGAGACTCGGCGGCGAGCGGGGGGGGGAAATGAGAAGAAGAAGAAGAAGAAGGCCTCCTCAGAAGGCGGCGGGAGTTCTCAAAGCCCTCGCGCCTTCTGACAAGCTGTCTGTGCCTTCGGGGAAGGCTTAGTAAGGAGGCTCCTCAGACGGCCGGAGTACTTCCGAGCCTTCTGAGCAGGCCCGCCCCTTCCCCCCTGGGCTCGCCGCCAAGAGATGGCCTGGGGGCTTGGGGGGGCGCTGCGGCGCTCGAAAGCTGCCGTCAGCCGGATCAACGCGTGTCCGAGACGTCGTCCCCACCCGTTTGGGCCTCGCCTTGCCCGTGAGCCAACCTCACAGTGGTCCGAGCCTGCCAGGCCTCTTGACCAGCGCAAGGCGTGGTGCACGCGAGTGCTCGTGGTCCCAGCTCCGGCGCACGACTTGGGAACCGGCTTTGAACGTGGAGCGTGAAGGCGAGGTGGCAGCACGGTGCGGTCGTACAGGCAGCCGTCGTTGCCTGGTCCAGAGCGGAATCACAATGCCACCTCGGCACTACTTCTGCAGCCAGCGGCGGATACAATCGCGAAGCGGTCCTCGTAGAGCATCGTCTCGTGCAATGCCATGAGGCAGGGACTGCTGTGGCCAACGCATGCTTGCGAGGTCAAGACGAAACATCTCTACCAGATACGCAGGAGACGTCACGCAGCACCGAAGACCGCTTTCCCTTCCCAACAGCACGAGCGCGGGCCGGCATCTGGACAGGCAGGGCTTGTTCGGCGGCGCCGATGGAGTGCATGAGAATCTGAATTACAGCGCTGCTCGTGGCCTCGACATTTGGGCCATGCGCTGAGTTGTTGAGCTCCTGGGAGATGGTGATCTCTTCGAGCAAGTACTCCGCCCGTCAGGCTCCATGATCTTCCAGCCGAGCGAGCACGGTGCGCCTATCTTTTTGGCCGTCGAAGCTGCAATCCGACAAATGACTGCAACAAGATACAGCCAATCGGCACTTCTCTTCAGCTCCACAACTGATCATGGCTACCACGCCGGATTCAGAACGACTGCAAGAACTTGACTGCGCCACTATAGAAAACATGTGAAACGCATTCGTCCCGCGCTCCGTCAACAATGCTGACGGCAAGGTTGAACAGCACAGCTCAAGCATACGTTCGTGATCATTCCGCATGTTTTTAATGTCCAAGATGCCCTGTACATAATGTATGCCACACGGCAGACCATGCCCCATTATGGGTTGAACGGTTGCCCCCCTCAGACTTCGCTTGCGCCACAGGCTGCGACAACCACTGCGCGCCACAAGCTCATGTTCTAACACCGCCTGTCCCCCCTGCGCTATAAACTGCACCATGGGATGCGCAAAACACAGCGCGCCATGGAATCGCGGTTTGACCTGCTCTGCGTCGTATCCCTGCGCCATACGGCTCGCCATGCGGATCGCCGTGAAACGTGATGCGAAACCTGACTTGGGCCAGGCTTCGGCCGCAATGCTATCAACACCTGTCCAAAACGCGCGTTGCTTGCATGCTCCTTGACCACGTTCAATCAAGGTTCGGGTCTGGTTCGGTCTGCATCCAGGTGTGGTTAGCTTCTGGTTGAATTGCAACTGCCTTCTGGTTGGGTCCCGGCTTATGTGAGGTTGAGCTCTAGAAGCCACCAGGTAAATTACGACATAATGCTTGTGGAATCATTGTTGGAATATGATGTCTAGCTAGCGCCCGAAAATAGAAGACGAGTGAACACTGTGTAAAGCATTCCCGACACGTGTTGAAGTCTGATGCTTCCAGACGGCATGTGTCCAGTCTCGGGGGTGTCGTGAATCATGGTGAAGAGGAAGGGGATAAGAAAGATGAGGGGGGAGGGACGACGATGATGACGTCGACGACGATGGGCAAAAAGAGAACGGCAAGGAGAAGACAAGGCTGACAATGACAAGGAGGAGGGCAGGAGGTAAAGACGACGGAGGACGAGGGCGCAGGAGCGGCACGAGAGAGGAGCGCACGCTCCTCACTCTCTCGTTTGGCATGGCCAAATGCACTGCGGCCGGGGGGAGGGAGGGACTTTTTGGACTCAGCCTGGCGCTGCAACACTTGTATGCCGTCATTTCGCTAGCCAGAGGCAGCGTGAAAGGATGCCACGCACCTCTGGCTACTTCGACAAGGCTGCACGTGTGCGCCCTCGCTTGCGGAGGCGAATGTGGAATCTCCTCCAGCAAGCGGTGGCTGCCGCTAGAGGGGAGCGAGGGTCGGAGGGCGGCCCTCCCCCCTCCTCCCTTCCCTAGGAGGGCTTTCCCCGCCCACCCGCCGGCCCCTGGCCTGCCCAGACGCCCTGCAGCGGGAAAGGCACGAAAGCCCGGCCCTCGTATGTCCAACCGTAGTCGAAACCGTACTGCTTCGTCTTCCGCAGGTCCTCCGCCTTCTCGGCCTCCGCTGCGGAGGAGAGGAGAGAGGGGGGGGAGATGCGGGCACGGGGGGGTGGGATGGAGGCTGAAGGGGATGGGAACCCCTGCCTCTTCCTCCCGTTTGTCCTTCCCCCCCTTCTTCCGCAATCCCGCGCGCCGCCCCAGGCCGCGGAGGCGGTGCTGCCCCAGTCAACAGACCCCGCTCCCCGAAGGGCTGAGATGTTGGAGGCCCGCTCGCGTCCCCGAGATGCGCCGGAGACAGTCCTCCTCCACCTCCTCCCCCTCCACCTCCTCCTCCTCCTCCTCTCCACTCCCTCCCGTGCCGCGGGAGGCGGCGCGACCCCCCCCCGCCTTCCCTCCTCCCCCTACCTCCTGGGGCCTCTCTGGCGGGCTGGGCGGTCTTTGACCTTTCTGGGAGCCCAGCCGCTGCGGCGGCGAGGGGGCTGGGCCCGACGCCGCGCTGTCATCATCCGCAGGCGGTCGCGGGCAGCAGTGTCTTCGACCCCTCCGTCTCCTCCTGCTGAGGTGTGCCCTCGACCATGGAGGATCGCAGAGAAACATTTGCCGATGTCCTGGATTACCTTGGTCCTTCCACTCTTGGCCCTTTGGGGGCCTCCCGCGGCCTCGGGGGCCCTCAGAGAAGGTGTGGGGATCATGATCCGAAAATTACGATTTCTTCCTTCAATTCCCTGCCTCAACATGTCCTCATCCAACCTCCAGCGAGCCGTACAGATCACGGATGCCGTTGTGCGGGGGCGCGCAGGCGACGGCGCCACTCCGAACCAGGAATGCGACTGGCGGCAACGCGAAAGCGCAACCAAGGATACATAATTACATAATACCCAATCGCCCCCTATACTGCAACAAGTGTCGTCTTCGGATCATTCACACGCCCCCAGACATGGCTCAGCCCGGCTGCTGGGACAACTTGCACCGCCGCTGCTAACCTGATTGCTCACAGGTGCGGCCTGGCTGTCTCCAACCCCCGAACTGCATCAAGACATGTACGCGCCCCATCCCCATACAACCGTGGCTTGAGGCCCCCTTTCTGAAGTCGATGTGCAGCTCCCTGAAGACACACGAACCCAGATATCCGACGCCATGATGGCTTCACCACGTGAGCCCCTGGTGCTGTCGACTCCATGTGCGGAACTGGTACTTCGCCGCGGGTAGAAGTGTGATGGCCCAGGGGCCCAGAAACAGCCCCCTGAAGCCAACAAAGCTAAAATTGCGAAACTAAGGGGCCTGCCGAAAACTAATCGTGACGCTTCGAGGTCTGATAACACCGAGTGTGGCCCGCGGTCCTAGCGCCGCGAATGAATCTTTGAAGCGCAGATAAAAAAGACAATCCGGCGCTCCTCGTAGAGCTGGCCGCACTTCTCTATCAGCCAGAAGCACTCGAGCCTCAGCGCACGGACATATGTGGGAGGTTGCAGTCGCCCGTGGCGAAGAGGGAAGCATGATGGTGGGGACGAGGAGGGGGCGAGGAGGATAATAATGATGATGATGATGATGATGATGATGATGACGACGACGACGACGACGAGGATGATGATGATGATGATGATGATGATGATGATGATGATGATGATGATGATGATGATGCCGATTACGGAGGAGGGGGAGGAGGAAGAGGATGAGGATGAGGATGAGGAGGAGGAGGAGGAGGAGCGCCGCAGCAGGAGGACGTGGCGGAGGAGCAGGCGGAGCAGAGAAGGACAGGGAAGATGAGGAAGGAGGGACGTGCAGCATGCGGACTGCGCAACATCGGTCAGAGTTGCCATCGCGGCTCGACTCAAGGACGTTGGTCGCTGCCGTACCTGCCGAGCCTAGATTTCTTTGTCTGAGGCTCCGGCGCGATGTCATCGTTCTCGTCGCAGAGACCGGTGAGGAGGTAAGGGAAGATATATGGCTCGTGGTCCACCTGGCCCCTTCAATTGAAGCTTCGCCGCTTAGGGGCGCGGTGGAGCATCGCCCAAGGGGAGGAGAGAGGAGGGACGGGAAAGAGGGAGGAGGGATGGGGAATTGTCAGAGGAGGTCAGATTCAGGGGATTCGGAAGTATGGCAGCTTCGTGGGAGCGCCGGGCCAGCGAGTGCAAGAGGGGGACCCCAGAGTACACTACCAGGAAGTCGCAACCACGGACGCGATTCCTGGGCACACGAACGCACTTCCTGAGTCAATTGTTCGGAAACCCCAGACGAGAGCGCGATTTTTGAGTCAACAGCCAGGATGCCTTGGGCGCGATAGCGATTCCTGCACGGCGAGAGCGCGATACCTATGCAGAAATGAGGTCTCAAGAGGTAACGAATGTTTTCCGTTGGCCGTCGAGGCAGATGCGCCACACATACGTAGTCACACGCACATCAGCCTCGCCCAGAAAGGGCCCAACACACCCGGGGAGTAGAGCGGTAACACCTGCCCCGCCACATGGGAAGAGGATCAGGAGGAATGTCGGAGCGCCAATCCCCATGATCTATCATACGTCTGCGCCCTGGACCCTGACCCTTCGCCGCGGGTCATAACACCAGACCGTTGCGGCCTGTAACATCCGCTCACAGGCCCCCCCAAAAAATAGGGGGCATATCTCAAGCGAAAGCCACCTCCGTGGGCGCCGAAAGCACGAAAGGAGGCATGGTGGAGGAGGACGGGGAAGGATGGACGAGGAGGAGGAGGCATCAAGCAAGAGATGGAGGTCCCCAGGCCCAGGGGGCAGGAGGGGGAGGGGGCAGCAGGAGGGGAGGAGGAGGAGGAGGAGGAGGAGGAGGAGGAGGAGGAGTGGAAGGAGGGGGAGGATGAGGACACCAGGGGGGGGGAATAGAAAGTGAGGAGGACGGCGAGAAGGGTGCGAACGGCCAGCCCGTGCTCCATCCCCTCCGCGGCACCCCTCCTTGTCGGGCAGCTGCAGGAGCCAGTAGGCCAGGGTCTCGAACCAGAAGCGGCGCACCGACGCGGCGCGGGAGGGGTGGCGGGAAGGGGGGCGGAGGAGCGGCGGGAGGGAGAAGGCGCGCTCACTTTTGTGCAGGGGCCGACCGTCCTGGCAATCCTAGAGGCTTACCTCGAAACGTTCTTAGAAAGTTCTTAGAACAACATTGCTCTCAGATCATAAAGCCGATGCGTTCAAACAAGACCGACGGTCTCGACCAGAACTGTTCTAAGAAAAAATCGTGCAAACCGCCACTGCTTGAGACTACCACGCAGACAGAACTTGTGAGCTGGAGCTGAGAGCTGTGGGAAATCCTCAGATCTTGTCCAGGAAGCCCGAACACGCACATGGCTGGACACACACGTGGGACACTCCGATGCAGCGCGCTGGCTACACATGCGGAGTGCGGAGGACCCTGGCCTGCCACGCAACAGCTGGAGCGAGCACTGGAGAGATCTCTGGCCACTCGTGCACCCAGCACCCGACCGGGCAAGCCTAGAAGCTTCCCAGAGGGGGTCGAAACAGATGGGGTCGGAGGATCGCGCCGCATCGTCGATGCATCGGCAATACACACTGGCGCCGTCGGCGATGCACCAGCGACGTCGGCGTGAAGAACATCGCAGCGTGGGGGCCAAGCGTCCGGGTAGCCAAGAGTGCTTTCTTCGCCCGGACTCGTTATCTCGATATCTCGATATCGGGAAGCGGGGACTCGATATCTCGATATCTCGATATCGGGAAGCGGGGACTCGATATCTCGATATCTCGATATCGGGGGGGCGGGGACTCGATATCTCGATATCTCGATATCTCGATATCGGGGGCGGGGACTCGATGGACTCGATATCTGGATATCTCGTTATCTCGATATCGGGGGGCGAGGACTCGATATCTCGATATCGGGGACTGGGGTGTTCGGGGTGGGGCTCGATGTACGGCGCCTCGCTTCCCCCCATCCCAGGACCAAAATTTCCTTATGCACGCCCTGCGCCGCGGACTGGCCCCGCTCGAGCGGGCCCGTGCGGGCCCGTGCGGGCCCGCAGGCCGTGCATAAAGAAATGTCATCTTTTCTGAGTTTGGGCCAGAGGGGTCCCGGGGTGTCGAAGGGGGACCATGGGGACGATGATTATGGCAGGGGTGATGACGACGATGATGACGATCGAGTCCCCGCCGCGGATGTCGAGATATCGAGATATCGAGCTGACATCCACAGGGCTGCAGTCATATTACGAATCGAGATATCGAGCCCCGCCCTCCCCAGAGCGCTCGTCGTCGTCGTCGTCCTCCTCCTCCTTCTCCTCCTTCTCCTCCTCCTTTTGATGCTGATGATGATGGGGTTGATGATGATGATGATGCTGCGGATGATGAGGATGGCGGCGGCGACGACGACGACGATGATGATGATGATAATGATGATGTTGGTGAAGCTGACGATCATACTGTTGAGGATGGTGATCATGAATACGATGATGATGGTGATGTTGATGCTGATGATGTTGATGATGATGGTAATGATAATGACGATTCTGGTGCTGATGATGATGGTGACTTTGGTGCTGTTGATGATGGTGATGATTATGATGATGGTGGCGACGATGATGCGGATGATGATGCTGCTGATCATGCTGCTGATGAAGGTATTGATGATGACGACGATGATGCTGCGGATGGTGATGATGATGACGATGATGATGATGATGCTAATGGTAGTGATGATGATGAGAAGGAGGATGAGGATGAGGAAGAGAGGGTGGAAGCAGTGGATGAGGAGGAGGAGGATAAGGAGGCGGTTGAGAAGGGGTAATCAGGAGCAGGGGGAAGAGGAGAAGGAGGAGGAGGAGGAAAGGGAGGAGGAGGATGAGGCGGAGGAGCATGTCTGGGGATATGCAGGAGGAGAGGAGGGATGCAAAGGAGGAGACGGAAGAGGAGGACGAGGATGCTGATGCTGATGCGGATGCTGATGATGATGATGATGGTGATGATGCTTGAGATGATGCTGATGATGACGATGATGAGTACGATGCTGATACGGATTAGAATGAGAAGAATGATGGTTGCGATGATGATGCTGCTGCTGATGCCGATGATGAGTCTAATGATGC